TTTTTAAATTACTGATTTTACTTGACTTTATTTTTGTGAGTGTCTAAATTTCAGGAGGGGCGAAACGCATCGTTTGCCCCGTCATCTAAATTTTAGAGGGGCCCTCTGCCTCCCCCTGGTTGGCACGCCACTGGGTCTGACGCAATCAACTACATGCAGCTGTGGCCTTTCCCCTTCTCTGCAAAGCGTGTTTGTTCTTTTAAGAAAGGGAAATATTTTGTGAAAAGGTGTTTTACCGTTTTTTACCCTTCCCTTTATGTTATAGTGGGTACGCAATTACAAAAAAGACAATTTTCATCAACTCTATCTTAACACAATTTCTTTCCTACACATATATAATTAGAGTGCTTTATTTTGAAAAAAAAAAAGTCTCTTCATATGGGGCCCCCTTGACCGTCGGGGCCCCGGGGCGGTGCCCCGGCTGCCCCGGCGTAGTTGCGGCCCTGCCTGTAATGTATTTTAATAAAAAATTTAATACTAAATTGCTTTTTATATCCATCTAATTTAACAGTAAAAAGCAGTGAAAACACTGTCCTGCTGCACTTTCAAATAATAATTGTTATGGCAGTTTCACTTTATTATCTTTTTGAATTATCACTGTATGTTTCTTAAAGATTTCAAAATGTTTTTGAGAAATCCTATTCAATAGATTTTTAGATACATTTTTATAATGATTACTTACCCTCTCAATAATTAGAATGACCTTATAAAATTTAAGTCAAGCTAAAAGAATGAAAAAGCATTGTCACAGTGTGGCCACTCAAATCAGGTTTCAAATTTCCCTGATTTTTCAGGTTTTCCAGGTGAAAATCTTAAAATTTCCAGGTTAACATGTTTTTTTTCCTCATAAAGTATAGGATGGGTACAAGAAAAATGTCAATATTACAAATTATTTTATTTAAAATGTAATTTTTTTATTGTTATCTAATCATCTTTGGATCAGGAAATAGAGTGCTAGCCAATGAGTGCCTCCCAATGAGGTGACCTGGTTTGAATCCCAGCGATGGCTGGTTGAAACGAATTCCACACACGGCTCGCAATGATGACATTGCTGATGTAAAATATCCTCAGTGGCAGACAGATCATTGATTGGAGTCCTCTTGCCTCCAGGCTGACCGTGGGAAGTTTTCATTGCAGGGCTGCCATTGGCGACTAAAAAGGCCACTAAAGCGACTATTTTCAAGCAATAGCAACTAGGGCGACTATTTTAGTAGAAATATGAGTAAAAACAACTAATTTGCAATGAGTTGCGTAAAATTGGCGACTTTTTTAAGCCAATTAGCAACTAAAATTAAGAATAACTTATTGAATTTCCCTCTTCTCCCACTTTTTTCCCCCCTCGCATTTTCATTTTATCCAAACTTTATTCTTCCTTACTGATATCAAAAGCAAGACAGATATGTTTAACCAATCAGACTAATGGATTTGGAATTCACACTGCGTGAATGCTCCTCCTGCTCATGTAATATCTCTGAGGATTACGTTTTTTTCCCCTCTTTTAATTTGAACGAAGTAGCAAAATAAAAAAAAAATTGTCTTTAATTATACAAAATGGGTAGTTAATTTTTTTAGAGCTATTTACAATAGAAAAAAGGTAATGGTGATATTCGTTTTGTCGAATTGTGATCGTAAATTTTTTGATAAACTTTAAATTTGGAAATGCTTCAGTTAGGAGAAATAAACAAAATAAAAACTTGATAGATGAATTAAATTGCAATATTTTTTTCTTGTTCAAATGTCTAAACTAAGCAGCTGCAAATTAGAGCAGAGAAAGGAAATTCGAGTTTCAAATTCACCTGTTCTGTATCAGATAAAAATAAAACTCCCTGTTTTTATGCGTAGTGTGACAGAATAAGGGTCCACAAGTAATTACAATTTTGGATCGGTTTGTTTTGATGTTCGGTTCGATTTGGAATGTTGAAGTTTGCAGGGACCGCAGACGTCATATTTTCCTTACTTTTTCCATTATTTCTGCACTCTTCCTTTCCCCCCCCTGTTATATCCTTTTTTTTAAAAATCCTCTCATTTCTGCTATTCCTCTTTTAAAATGCATAGTGACAGCCAACAAAACGAAATAATGACTCAAGGTCAAGTATTGCAACTGCACTTGTTTTTCAATTCATTCATTTTGAATGGGGATGTGAGGAGCAGAACACGGTAGAACATGAATTCTTATTAGTACGTCAGCTTCTGTGTCTGCTTGCCAATTCATGTTTAACTCATGAAGCCAATTCATGAAGCTGCTGAAAAATTATGAGTAACAGAGAGAGAACATGAAATTGAATCGGTTAGAATTGATAAACTTGTTCATAAAAGGAAAACAATCTTAATTGATATCTATACTAAAACTAAACTCAGTGGCGCGACTGCCATAGAGGGCCAAGGCCTACTGTGCCCATCTCAGTTTTCTTGACCTTGGGCTCTGGGGTGCAGAAGCAGATGTTCCGGTTAGGTGGTCAGCCGAACGCAAAACTCCCAGTGTTTAGTTCCCAAGCATGCTTGGTACTCATTTATGGACCCTCATCTATACTAAAAGCCCCAAGAAAATGTTTAAAAAATAATAAATTTCACATTTTATACAACATTGTGTGTGTTTTTTCCCACTTTATTTTCAATCATAAAACTCTTAATTTTAATTTATTTGTACCTATATAATAATTTTCCTTTCATATTATTGTTGAAAATTATTTAAGTACTTTTAGAATGCTGATTTTGTTTATTACATACTAAATTTTTATTTTATAGTAAGGTTAAAAAAATTCATATATGAAAGTAAAGGTCATTTCTACTTCATTTTTTATAATGCCTAAACTTTTAGTCTCTAGCTTTTTTTTCAATATTTTTTTTAATTACAACTATTGTTTCTTATATGATATCTGAAGCCTTATGCCTCATAAAGAATAAAACTAAAAATAGATATTTTTAAAATGTTCAAAAGGTTTTCTACAGCAATTCCTTCAGCATTCCTCTATCTATATATTGTTGGTAAATTCACAAATAAATGTACTTTTTTTATGAAATATGAGTATCTAACTGCATATTATTTGAATTTTATACTTTTATAGCACAAATAATTAAAGTTATGTTAGAGGAGGATATGATGTTGGCACCTATTTTATATATCTTAGAGACTATTTAGGAGACTTTTTTTCATATATGATGCAACTAAAGCTACTATTTTTCTTGTTTTCATCCAATGGCAGCCCCGTCATTGTTTTCCTCTCCATGTAACACAAATGCGAGTTAGTTCTATCGAACAAATCCTCCATAAAGGAAATTTTCTCCTAATACTGGATCTAGGAGTTCCCTCTTCTTCTGGATTAGGTTTAAAACCACAAGGCCACTGAGTTGAACATTAGTAGTCATAAAATCAAAAATTGGGACAGCTGTTCAAGGACGGTGAAATATATCATCGTGAAAAAATAAGTAGACTAAATTTATTTTAATAACTTTAGCAAGATTTTGTTTTTTATTTTTTGAATTTTTAATGTTTTAGTGCAACATTAAATTTTAAAAAATTAAGATAGATGTGGTGAAAATAATATGTTTAGCTTATGGAATGTATTTTTTTATTGAATAAAAATAGTACAGTGTGTTTCTTAAGTGATTTTTGCACATAGTGTACCAAATAGAAAATACAGGAAGACCAAAAAAGCTTTGGATAAGTATTAATATATTTTCATTGAGAAGGAAATAATTCCAGGCCATTATACATCAATAATCTTTGTATTTATTTACATTTCAATATAAAGCCATTTTATACTGTATTTTATCTAAACAATGTTCTTTATAAAATTCATTGATCACATTTTCTTAAAACCAATATCTAAATTCAAATGTTTTAATAATGTTGTTTGTTTTGAATTAGCATTATTATTTTGAGAGACATTCAGTATTCAAAAATAAATGTTGTAAAAGAAAAATTGTCAAATTTCTTGTTGCATTCTCTAACGAGAAAAACAAATCAATATTTAAGCGTTATATATTGTGATGTTAATAGGTAAGCCTAATGATATGTCAAATTATCTATGTGTGAAATGATATAATGCAAAACCTTACATATTAATGTTTGTATTATAAAAATCTACAGTAATGCACAATTCCAAGTTGTCTATTACTTTAATTAGAATGTTAAAAAAATATTAAGATTTTCCTTATCACATTTTCATAAAATTTTAGATATTGAGGTTTGATTCTATTTTATCTGCACTCGCAACTAAAAAATGGATGCTTTTCATCGTTATGTAATTTCTTTCAATTTTAAAAAGACTTTTTAACAGTTGAAAAAATTTAAAATTTAATCATTGCTTTCAAATTGTTATATATTGTATTATGATATTAAGCTTTTTTTTCTTTGTATAGCTTTAATATTAGGTCCCGAAAATCACAAAAGCTGTATTGTTGGAATTCAAGCAGTATTCAAGTAATTTGCTTTAATATATATTATATAAATACAGTCCATTAATTAAATTACTTAAGTAATACATAACTTAAACATTTGAAATATTTATTAGAGTTTCTTTTTAGTCAAACAGAAGTGAATTGGAAATCCTCTAGTTCTGTAAAAACAAGTAAGTTTATAACACTATTGCTCTTTTATTTTTCATGAATTCAACAATTTACTAAAATGAACTTTATTATTTTTGATCATATGCCTAAAATTTAGTTCCATTTTCCTATAATGGAAGTGTTGATTAGGCATTTTTTTAAAAAATAAAATTGTTCTTAAACTTTTTAATGTTAAATTAATCTTCCTGTGTAAAATTAATTATAATTTCTTTTATATTTTTTCTGTCCTTTACTTTCACTAAAGAGTAGACAATTTTTTCAAAAGTTTTCTTCACTACCTATCATTTGTTACAATACTAGATGCAATTATGAGTGTATAGGTTTGTTAATTACTTAAATTTTATTGGGCAGCATTGCTCAGGGCAAGTTTTTTTTTGTGAAGAATAGTACCTGCAATTAGAAAACTCAACACTTATTTACTATAGAATGCGACGTTTAGAATTTATTAATATTTCAATGCACCATTGAGAAAATGATTAAATTCACATTTTCATGGTTTTCTTTTCTTTTCTTCATTATTGCTTACGCTGAAAGAGGTACAATAATTTACAAACTTTTTTCAAATGTTTTTAAGTGCAAATGAACTGAATTAAGTGCACTGAAAAATCAAAAGTTTTTTCAGTGCAAATGCTTTTTAATTTAGAGGCAATGCTACTTTTTTATGACATATTAATTCAGAAAATTTTTTCTACAATATTCTCAGAAAGCGTTTGCATTTTCTCAATCAATTTTGTTTTAATATCTTTTATGAATTCAATTATTAATTAACAGAAAACTATATTTATGTTCATGAATTACAGGTTATGCTAAAAATTTTCATGTGCTTACTCTAGAAGATATGGGTATCATTAATGTTTGGGTAGTAATCGAAGTTCTTAAACCTGATATATCTGGGACTGAAACTGATCTTGGATTGGCACCTGGAGGTAAATACAGGCTTGTTAGAAGCTCTAGTATAGATCTACACGATCTTCCATCCTTGTAAGTATATGTTTTAGTATCCTTTCATATTATTCAATGATTAGGTTGTGTTTATAAAAAAATAAAAGTCTATAGATGGAAAATAAAAGTATCTTAGACTTTGCTCAAAGATTTTACACCTCAACGGTTATTGTAAGCAGGTTTATACAGTAATTTTCTAAGAGAAAACATTTTTTGTCTGATCTATAATTATAGTCTGTATTAGAAGGTATTCATTTTAATTTAACATAAAGTGTACTAAGTTTTATATTTAAATTCCTTTATGGAAATGTGTGTCCTTTTTAAAACGGAAAACAAAATACAGGGTGACAAGAAATGACTTGGACAGAAATTAAAACCAAAGATTTATATAGCAAAACTTGCCTATGCTTTCTTTTATAAATAGGTAGATTATCTAAATAACATCTTCTGATATGAATCTGCTCCAACCCACAGAGCTGAAGACACTAAAAATGGAAGAATGTGTATTTTCTTGTTTGTTTGTTTTTTTTACAGCAGAAGAAAATTCATTTACCTGACAGAATTTTTTCGTATGGTTCATTTTGGAGACTAGGTTTCTTAATCAACTTCTTAAGTCTTTGGCATCCGTAAAAATAATCTTTGTCAAGTAATGAGATGAGATATCAATAGATGCGTTGCAACCCATATTGGAAAACTTTTAGAGACATTTTTAATTCTATATTAGGTCCAAAGTTGATAATTTTGAAAATTTACAATAATGTCACAAAAAGTAATCTTTGCGTGTTCATTTGAAAATTTGGTGGTGATATTTTAATAAAGCATTAAAATTATAGCTGTAATTTTAATACTTTTTAAAACATTACTATTAAAATTATTAAACATCCCTTGTTATCTTGAAAGACGCCCGGTGGCTGAGTGGTAGTGCTTTGCTCTCCCATGCCACAGGTCCTGGGTTTGATCCTCAGACCGGGCACGGTTGACTCAGCCTTTCATCCCTTCAGAGGGTCCATAAATGAGTACCAAGCATGCTTGGAAACTAAACACTGGGGGTTCCGCGTTTGGCTGATCACCTGACCGGAACATATTTTCCTGCACCCCAGTGCCCCCAAGGTCAAGAAAACTGAGATGGGCACAGTATGCCTTGGCCCCTTCTATGGGCTGTCGCGCCACTACCTTGAAATAAATTTAAAAAATTCTAGTAATTTTTTAGTTGCTGGAAATTTTTCAAAAATTATTCTAATTAAATAATGAATATTCTGCCAATAAAATATTCAAAAAATTATTGATTTTTAAGATATGTTTGTTTTGTTATTGCTGATATGTTTTATAGTTTTAATAATAAAAATACGTTATGCATCTTTTAAAAAATTTAATTAATGTATTAATTTTTAAGTTGAAGTTTTATTATCTTTAAATTATTATTATCAAATGCTCCATATCTATGCTGAAATTTACTGAGTACCGTGTGATTTCTTTGAAAAAACATGTTTATTACCAATGCAGTTCACACAACTTCATATTTTGCCAACTTCTAATCAATCGTTTCTTTTTATTTTCAATCACTTATTAGTAAAAAATGTTTGCTTGTATTAAATTTTTTTATCCATAAAGTTGAAATTTGAAAAAACATTTTTATCTATGATATATCTAAGAACAATGATTTATTTAATGTGAAATTGTCAACATTTTAGCTTGTACACTTCGCACAAGAGTTACATACACTTTTCTTTTATAATTGATTTGACAATATTTTCTTTCAAATAAAATATATGCTGAATATTAAATCTGCAAATGAGATTTTTTAGTTTTTGTAAACTCAAAGCAATTGCAATATTATATTCTCTCTACATGCTGATTGAATTATTTTAAGTTTACTTCTAATTATCTTCAATCTGTCATATATATACTATTTATATTATACTTTGTTAATTTTTTTTTATTAACATTTCTGGATTTTTAGACAAATGGAACACAAAATAAGTATGAGGACTTTTGATTTCCGACTCATACCTCAAGATTCAAGTCGAATGCTTGTCATAACTGATGTGGTAAATATTAAAGTTTTCCTTTGTTGCTTTAACAGCAGGGCTAAAGAGAATAGAAGGGCTAGTTCACTCCGCTCTTAGAGCTGAAGCTACGATCGCTCTTAACCTAAAAGATAAAAAGAAACATTCATTTTTATTAAATGGATGTCCAATATATATTTTTTTTATTAATAAAAGTAGAGAGAACGAAACAAACGTTAAAGTTTATATCGGCGGTAAATTGATAATGACTTTAATACGAGATATGTGTTTTTTCTTATTTCGAGTTAATTGTCTCGAATATTCTGAATTACATCAGAAAAAAATTGAAAGTCAATTATTCCCCCTTGTAATTGTGTTCATTTATATTCAGGCAAATTAATTAATTTTTTTCCTACAACATTTAAAAAAAGACAAACAATGAAGGAAATGCAAAAAAAAAATGAACAAGAATTCTATCTTAAATTCAGTGAAAACACCTAATTTTGATGGAATTTTGAATGTATTAAACCAGAGAGAAATGTGACTGTTTAAAATTTACTTCCTGCTTTTGACTAGAAAAATAATTTGGGAATATTCAAAGAAAATTTGTTTTGCGTGTTTTAACTTTAAAATAAGCTTCTGTAACCATTTTTGCACAATTAACTAAACTTCTTTAAACCATTAAAATCTACTTATAAATAGTGTTTTTTAAATCATTTTGAAATAAAGAATACAGTTCTGACCGACAAGAGTGAACTATCTAACTGATTAATAAAACTTACTTATTTTTGAATAAAATTACAAAAAATGTAGCTTATTCAAAAACGATATTTATTGCCGATTATTATTATAAAAATTAGAAATGAAAACGATTATTATTATAAATAAAAACGATATTATTATAAATAAAAACGATATCATTATAAATAAAATCGTTATTATTGTATAACGATTATTATTCTAATAAAAACGATTATTATTATAAATAAAAACGATATTATTATAAATAAAAACGATATTATTATAAATAAAATCGTTATTATTGTATAACGATTATTATTCTAATAAAAACGATTATTATTATAAAAATTAGAAATGAAATAGCAACTGCGCTTTAGTTAGCCCATACATTTTATTTGCATTTAAAGTTCAAATGAAAAAAGTTACATTAGAGGAAGAAACGAAATATTTAATAAACTTTTGAGAATAATTATTATTTTCTGTAAAACGCATCTTCTTAAAAAAAATTAGTTCATTTTAATTATTTTTTTAAAAATTACTTTTAAATAAAAAGGGGTGATAGTTTCAAAATAATTGGTATCATTTTAAACTTTTTGTTCCCATACAACATATCGATACCATTGAGTTATTAAATAAATAAATAAAAGCATTTTTCGTTTAACCCTACAACCGCCTTATCAATGCTGTACGAGATATTATTTCTTCAAAAATATTTAAATATGAGTATAGAATAGATTATTCTATTACATCGATTGTCACTGCTGTGAACATTTTGGATCCTAACCAAAAATATAAAGTTTCTATGAAAATGAAGTTATAAAATATTTTAGCAGTTCAAAATTCCTGTAAAAATACAGAGAGAAAAACGAGAATGTGCACTAGTACTAGTTCAAATGCACAAAATCGGAATTTTCGTTAACAGATTTCTGGAAACTGTAGGTTTTTTACTGTGAATTTTATTAAAGAGGCTTTTTTCCGATATTCTAATCTACTTTATGGGTAAACAACCTCCCATTTATTCGACATGGCTCTTTGAGTAGTAACTTTCGAGGAAAAACGGTCATTTTTTTTCGGGACTTAGTCTTGCTTTATTTCTGTAAAATTACCGAGTCTCCTTTGAATATTTATCTGTAATTTTGCAGCAACTTTCTTTTTTAAACTCACTATAAATTTACATATGAGTTCTGATAAATAATTACAAGTATATTATTATACATTATAATTATGTTATTATACATTATAATTATATTATTATACATAATAATTATATTATTAAACGTCATAATTATATTATTATACATTATAAGTATATTATTATGCATTATAAGTATATTATTATGCTTTTTCCTNTATAATATTTATAATATTATATTATATATATATTATTAATATAATATAAATATATATATATATATTAGCAATTGGGTAGACAGTTAAAGTAAAATTTTAATATTTGAAGGTAATTTTTTATGTTTATTAATGATCTTACTTTTCATTATAATGAATGAAAAACAAATATGGTTTTTACATTGTAAGAAAATTTTTTCTGCATGTTAACATTTAATTGTGAATAAAAATAAATGTATGATTTTTTTCCCTAAGAAATATTTATAGCTTAATCTGTGTGTAATGGCAAATTATCTATTAATATAGGTTGGGTGCAATGATGGCAGCATCAAGTTATATAACTTGAAAATAGGTTTGTAAGATTTCATTTTAACTTCATTATCATTTTTAACAATACCTTTAAAATTTTATTTTTAATAATTTCTGTTTTGTGCTTCCACTTCTTTAAAGAATTTTGTGATATTTTTTTAAAAATTTCTTGATCAAAGTTTGCAATAATTTATAGATAATTAATATTCAAAACTAGAAGAAAGAAACTTGCATGAATAACATGAATGGATCCAAAAAAAATGATAAATAAGTAGAATAATCACAAGGGTAATAAAAAAAATTATTTATAGTTTACAAAAAATAGAATACAGGAAAAATAGAATACTTGCTGAATACTTTTGGACGCCAGGCATTTATTGGAGTTAAGGACCAATTTGTTCAACCTACCTCAATCGAAATCATATCCTAGCCTGTTGAGTCAATTTTTACAGAACTACCTGTGGAAAAACTTGTTCCAAATAAACTTTCATTTGATACTCTAAACAGGAAAAAGTCACTGAATGCCAAATATGGGCGGTATGAGAGGCTGAAGACTCACCACTTGAGGTTTAGCAGCATTGCTCGAACTTCACACGCATGGAACCTGGCATACAAGAGGGTAACATTCACACTCATTGTGTCAGGGTGCTTCTCTTTTACCAGCTCCGACGTATGTTTTGAGTAACACTCCCTATTCTCACAACTCTTACTAGATAACTAGAACCATTTGTCTTCACTCTGGGGAAATATAGCTTTCACCATTAATTATTTTTAAATGCTATTGCTTGTAGGTTTTTTTTTTATTTTTTGAATTCATCCTCATATTGAATAAATATTTTCAATTTCGTATTTAGATTTGTCATAGAAAGTTGTGTATCGAAGTTCATAGCTTACGATGTGGATTTTTTGTTGCAAAATCTTTTAGATGCCAAAATATAACACCTATTTAAATTAGAAAATTTCGTATATGCATAGGTATATTATTTTTTTAACCTCAGAAAAAAAAATTAGTAACTTCTACTTTTTCAATTTGTTTCTTAAAATTAAATATTTCACTCATGTTCAAAGAACTATGCTAAAGGGGAGGGTATAAATTTAATCATCACTCAATATCTCTAAATTTTACTAGTATAAATTTACTATATAATTATTTTTTTTTTAGTTATTACTAATTTTTTTCAAATATGTTCATTGGCAACATAGTAAAAATCATATATCAAACGTCTATGATCACTTTTAAAATCTTACATGTTAAATTCCGTCTATTTCCTTCTAAAAATATGCCTGTTATGAAAATATATAACAATTAGGAAAATATTTTAAATGTTAAATCTGTTTTAAATAATTGTTTGATGCTTTTTTTTTCTTTAATTAATAGTTCGACCCTTAATGGAATTCCTATGCAGTGAAAAAGGAGAATCTGTCAATCTCCTACAATGGTCCACCGTACAGCCTACAGTATTTTATATTCTTAGTTCTTTTTCCTTTATACATTTTTGGGATTTGATGCAAGATTCTTTACACCCAGTTCAAAGTTATCACTTTCAGGATAGCAAGTAAATAATATATATTTTTTTCTAGCTTTTTATAATGAGCTATAACTTTTATTTAAAAGCATGGCACCATTTGGGGGAAATGGTGGGTATATGTCCCCCTAAATAATTAGAAATCTTTAAAAGCCCCCCCCCCCGTCCAATATTTCAGACAAAAATAAAATTTTTGTGAATGATCATCAATTTATATTCCTTAAAGTTAAAAACAAGAAAAAGATAAAATAATTAATGTTTTTACAGGTATTTAGCACATTTAAGAACTTTTTTTTTCTTATGTGTGAAATTTAGAAACTATTACGACTCTGTAGTTTAATTTCGTCTCCTGAAAAATTGGCCCTCTGTGTAATGCTCATGTTCAAAAGTAAAGAAATTTTTAAATATTTTTCATAAAGGATTTGCTCGCCTTTAGAATGTATTAACTCAGAAGGGGTAAATTAAACAGAAAAAAGAACCATCTCTACATATTTGGAAAAAGTATTTATGAAAGAGAATATGAATATATATTTTTAAAAGAAAGTGTAAACCCTTCCTTCTCGCTCTCCGCAAAGTAATGAGATGCAGTTGCACCCTCTATTTCTTGTGCCACCATGATATTTCCTGGCTGGAGTGTTCAAAACTAATGAGCCAACAAGATTAAAACAATCTATTTCTTATGCCCAAAATCATGTTAATTTCTCTACCTTTACACTAAATAGCAGTACCAGATTATTTGTAATATGTTAGTTTACTTTAAATAAAATGTCAGTACTCGTCAAGCATTTATATTTGTGATATATTTTTAATAATCTTAACTCAGTTACTTAGTTAGGCTCTTTGTGAATATATGTGGTTTGCATTCTGTGCATTTTTTGATATTTGATAGCATTATGGAGTTAGAGTCAAAAGGTGAATTCATTAAAATTTAATTTTTATTTCAAGCTAAAAATTTACTCAAAAATAAAAAAATGAATACATAGATTTTACATGCACTTAGTTCAGCATAGTTTTCTTGAATAAAAAAATAGGCACTTCTATAACCGTTTTCTTCAAAATTCTACAATCATTAAGATTAAGTGTTTAAGTTTATGTATGAATCCCCCCCCCCCTCAAAATGCAATCTTTTTCTCAAAATTAATTGCCACGCTTTTAAAATCTTTTGCGTGTATTTTTGTTTCAACATGAAACATTTTCCAGTGCTGTCATAGAGATAATAGGGCTATTTGTTTGTTTTTTTTAATAATAGCTTCCAGTTTTTGTAATGCTGTAATTTATATCACAATTAGAAATTACCTATTCTTACTTGCCTAATATAATTTTAAAATGGTACTATATTTATATAATTATTTCTGTGTCTACAGTAAAGAAAATTGCTTAAACATTTTTTGAATATTATAATTTATTTTTAGAGTTACTTGGTTTGTTTTACAAGCAGTAGAGAAAAAATCTACAGATTCTGCGACTGAAAAAATTTCAAACTTAGTAAGTTTAATTTAAGTATTTACTTTTCAGTCTTAGTTGTATTAGTGATTGTTAGATTTTTTTTTTGTGAAAAAGCAACCTTGAGTTTGTTTAAAACCTAATCTATAAAGGATTTATAAAGTGTAAAAACAATAGTGGTGAAAAAAAAGAGGGATTAACTAAAAACTACAGAGCTTGGCAGCAAAGCACTTTGAGATGGCTAGTAATAGAAAAAAAAATTCCAATATTATTATTATTTTAACTAAATTTTGATTAAAACGCTGACGAAATGTAAATTTAAACAGAAAATTAATATTTGGCCATCCAAACTATAATCATTTCAAGTGCGTAGAGTAGGATGGAACATGAGAAATTTTATTGACATGAGGGAAATATTTTTTTTACTGAATCTTTCATGGCTTCCTCTAAAAAGGTACCAAAAAAAGGTAAAAGATTGTATAAAACTAATATTTAGAAAGATTCAGCTCAATAAAATAATATTTAGACCCCATCTAAGCTTAAAAAAAAGTTGAGAAAGAAAACTTAATTTTCCTCAAAAAATTTAAATGCAGGTGCCATTTAGTAGTGGTTGTAGAAACACAAATTTGGACTCACTTTATTGATAATGTATCTGACTTTAAATTTATAACTTCTTAGTAAAATGAATGAAGCAAAAAATACAATGGTTTTTCTATAATCCTCATTGTGAAATCAAGTTTTTAGAGAGTGGCGAAAAAAAAATATTTTGTTAACTACTCTATAATGGCAAACAAGATAGGTACTAATGATTTTGATACTTTACTGGTAAAAAATATATGAGATTGACGAATATAGAAATGAATAAATATTTTAAATAAAGAAAGAAATACATTCATAAATAAAGAAATGAATAATGAATTTTAAAGTTGAACATTGATTGTTTTAAAATATTAAAAAAAATAATAATACAGTGAAACCTCCAAGAAAGACCACCTCATTGTAGCGACATCCTCTTTTTACGACCACTTTTGGAAGGCACACAGATTTCGACCATAGACTTATTCTTTTTGACCATCAAAACCCCTTCCAGCGATCGGACAAACCTCCAAACCAAATACAGAAAATATCAAATAAGGTAATAATAATCTTGTCTCAGTCAGAATGCACTAAAGATAATGCTATTAAAATACATATTTTAGAACTGGAAGTTAAATTAGAAAAAAAGTTATTTTAGAAAAAACTGAGCATCTCAAACAAACAAACCTCTTCTCATTTTTTAAAGTTAACTAATTTTTATGATATAAAATTAAATGCAAACTTAAACAAAAAACATAATTTTTTATTTTAAATTTGCAGTTCTATCATGCATAATTGGTAAATTTATTTTCACACATAATTATATCAGTAAAGGTTATTTTTATTGACGCTTAATTTTTTTCATCAATTCGGTTTTTATGATGTGAACACAGGGGACATTTCGCATCAGAAAAATGAGAAGGAGTAAAATTAAAATTGCTAGCAAAAAATCATGTACCTTCAATATTTTAAAGTCAATGAAGATAACCCTTAAGAACGACCAACCTCGACCCTTAAGAACGACTATTTTACTGTGGAACTGAAGGAGTTCGCTCCCGAGAGGTTTCACTGTACTATGATCCAATATCTATTTTAATTTATTACACATTTACATTAGCCTAATTTAGATGAGTGAAAGAAATTTTATTATTTATTTATTTTTTATTATTTAAATTGTTTATTTATTTTTCATAATTGATAAATTCCTTGCTTTATACAAAAAATTTCTCACTTTAAATGAAAAAAATAAAGTATGCATATTTAAAAAAAAAATAATAATAAAAAAATTAAATTGTTTCAGTTACAAGTGTAATTTAAAACCAGAAAGTATACACTATTTTGTTTGTGACCCATCAAATAATGGTTAGCAATCAATCATCAGCAAATTGCCATTTGAGGAAAAAGTTTGCATAGTTCATTCTAAATTAAGTGCCCATATAAATTGGAAACAAAGGGGTGCAGGAAGGCTCACAATTCAAAAAATTTTAATTTGAGGGGAAAGAGAAAACAAAGATACTTACTATGGAGTATAGATGTGAAGTAAAGTGAGAGTGAAACTTACTGAAAGTTATACATTACATAATTAAACAACAACACCCAATCACAAAAATAACACTCTTCAAATACACATATTTTGAGACATTTTCTTCTCTATGTAATAAGCCAGTTATTTACATTCAATGGGAAATAACTGTATATGGGAGAAATTCAACTTTCTCATATGCTAGAAGGGTTAAAATTTTTGCTTACTAATTATGCTAATTAATTTTTCCTGTTTGACATAAGTTTTAATTTTACTGATGTATATGCAGTTTTAACATTACGTTTTATTGTAAATTTTCCATCTGACACAGAGTGCTTATTTATTTATGTGTATTTTTTTAATTAAAATTTTGAATAAACACTATGTTTCAGTTTAAAAGCTTTACTTATTTAATACACCTATGAATACATTTCTTTATCAAATGTCTTCAAAACAAATGTATTACTTTTTTTTATAAACATTTCTTATAAATATTTTCTGATTACTGATATATGGACTTTATTTTAGCTTATAGCGAAAGAAAATGGAGAAGTTGAAGTGCATCCTCTTCAACATCAAATATCTGAAGACAACTATAAGAAACAGCTTTATTTTATGCAAAATTTGTAGCCTATATATTTATACCAGATTATATTTTTAATAACCACATTGAATAAAATTGTCTAAATCACTATGAGACATTTTTATTTGCCTAAAAGTGCAACCCTCTAAAAATCATAAGATTGGAAATTTTTATGAAACTGTTTAATAACCTTAAGCAGCAAAAAGTAAAACATAGATTAATAATTACAAAAACTTTTATTGAATTGAATTGGTATAGGTATGAATTGAGGCACAAATAAGGAAAAAAACTTATTACAAATAAAAATTAGTCACTGAACCTATAAGCAATTTGTACCATATCAAATATATGTCTAAATCAGAGCTTGAAATTTCAGTTTTAAAGGTACAAAGTTTTGCTAACCACTATTTTCACTAAAAATATGAACAATTTTTAAAATGTTACAAATGTAGTATGAAGTATGTAGTTTATCGTATATACAAATATAAATGTAGTATGTAGTTTAATGACCAAAACCATAAAAGGGTGTAAAAAAGTAATAATTATTTAAATTAAGGTATCCGTAATGTTTCAATGATTCCAATATCATCCACATTATTAAAATAAGATAAATATTAGAAATGTTCTCATACTTATAACATTTTATGTTTGCATACCATTTACCGGGGTCAAAATGTGTTAGATGGATTCATTTATAGAAAGTCTGAATAATCCTTCTAACAGTTAGTAGCTTCATTTGATACCAAAACTCAACTTTATACATGAAAAAATTTACTCTCCAGCCCTAAATATTAGGTTGAAATTTCGCACCCTGGATTAAGTGGTGTTTTTATTTTTAATGTAGTGATTTCTTACATTGTTAATTTCCTTTTTACAATTTTATCCACAAGATGATCATATAAACAATTACATAAAAATATTAAATATTCAGGAATGTCTAATTTATTTTTCCATATTGCTTAGCCATTTAGTCTTTATTTACCTATTTTAGTTATTATCATTAAGTTCAATTATATGTGAACAAATTTTGGATCAAATAAGGAAGATGTGCACCCTAAAATCCCTTTTTTGAGGATTGAAACATATTAATGCCTTGAACTGCCACAACCCTTAGTTCGTGGTTTCAAATTTTCATTATTTATTGAATTATTAACTGGACTTAAAAATGACAAAATTTGTAAAGGTATTAAAAATGTTGATTATTTAGTTTCAATAATTTCTAAACAAAAATACAGTGAGTTTGCAGTAAGTATTTACATACAAAAAAAAGAATAATAATAATCCTGTATGATTAAATTGCTATTTGAATTTAAATGAGAGAGATAATTCTAAAGTTTTGAAACAAATGAGATTTGCTGAAAGTGATTAAAGATAGGATGACCTACATATAAATGACTAAAGTTCCCAGAACTCTAAGACAATGAATGCTGCAGGTAAGATGATCAGATGAAAATCAAATCTGTGTAAAAATATCATTAATTTTAACCATTATGATTCAAATATGAAAAATTGGAGACAAACCCTATAACAGAGAAAGAGTTGAATGTGGAGAGATAGTCCTTTAGTCTCTAGAAAAAATCACTGGACTAAATTTCATCAATTAAAATCTTTTTCCAATGTCTTTCTGTTTTTAAATTAATTTTTTCCTTAAAAATGTAGCAAATATTTAATATTTTAAGTTAAAAATAAAAAACAGATGACATCTTAATGAGTACATTGTTATTTTTCATAATTGTAAGAAAAAATTCAAGCCATGAAAAAATGGAATTGATTGAACTTCAAAATTTGCATTTTGAAACGAAATCTGATCCAAAAAATATTTAACACTTTTAAATACACTTATAGTTTTCTCTCCTTAAATTTTTTTTTTAAATTGGTTTTACTTTTCCCTTTTAACTTTGTTTTAAATAGGTACTTGTCTAATGACTTTCATTTTTTTACAAACTTGTTCTTAATTTGTGTAATTTACCATTAACATGTTAAACTTTTGCATACATTATTTTCATTTTTGAAAAATATCAGTTTGGTATTTTTCTGTTTTAAATGAATTTTAACATTTAAAACAATTTAATTTTATACAAATATATTGCTAAGTAGATTGATGAAAAGGAATTAATTAAAAGAATTAAGATAATAAAAAATTACAATTATTTAAAAGAATTTAATTTTATAAAAATGTTTTGCTAAGTTGACAAATAAAAAGATTGGGTCTGAAACATTGATAATTTATGCTAAAATTAAGATGAAATTGCTGTCAACATGTGTAGGTACTTGGGTATGCGGCCCTTTATTGAAAAAAGGGCTGTGCATACCTGCTATATGAATTACAATAAAAATAATTTTTTACTTTTATAAAATATTTTAATTCACTTTTCAAATAATAACCTTTAATTAAACTTTGAATGTATTATTGTAATAAAGTGAATAATTTTCTCGTATTATAAAGATGAATTTCATTTAAATATGGTAGGTTGTTGAGTGCATACAATGTTTAGTACTTTTCTAAATTACGCCTTTCCATCGTAATTATTAATTAAAATAATTATAAATATTTCATATTTAAATTTTTTAAAAATTAAGTTAAGTCTAGATAGTGTGCATTTATAAATCTTGGAGGGAAGCACACCTAAGTTTAGGTACGCTACTGGTCCCACCACAGATCCAGCTGAGTAATCACTAGAAGCTGGACCATGAGCCTAGCAGAAATGACAGTTGTCGTGGAGCCTTAGATGTTATTTATCTTTAAAAAAAATTTGTTGTTACTAACTATTTAATATTGTAACATGTTTGATTGTAATGTCTTTTAATGAAGTTAATCTTCTACCTAACCAAATAAGACCTTAACAATAAACCTTAATTTAGCAAAGATTGCGCCCTTGGGAACAGAAATCGAGAAATGTCAGGGACCTAAAATACATTCTTTTAATTTTTCAGTGAGCTCCTCTTAATCTTCAACTATGAGTTGGAAGGGTTAACCAACAAAAGTTGGGCCTTCCAGAAGGAGGTGGGCCAGTAGAGGGAAGGGGATGTGTTAGACAAGAGGCAGCACAATGGGGTTCAGCCAATTGAGTCGAAGACTGAGCCGAATGGGTGCATTCAATTTGCTATTTAGAGAAAAAATTGGTTCTTCATCTGAAATGGATGAAGTGACAGGCATAACATTTCGTGAGCGAAAAGAGAGTCACCAAATGTGAACAGTGGGTAGCCTGTCTATTTCGTTCACTCCAGGATTTGCTTCTTAATTTATAAAATCCATATTACTTATTTTTTTTTAAATTTGAATTCAAATTGTTTTTGAAGTCCTCTTGAGTCAAAATAAAAACACAAATCAAAGTGTTGAAAACTTCGCTAATCTTTGAAATCGCATCCGCGATATTTTTTTACATGCAGTGAGAATGACCCTTAAAATAACCTAGCATCACAGATGGGCAGAAATGAACTAGTTAACAAATCAAAACAAACAGCTAACGGATAAATGTAACATTATTTTCAATTTTGTTACTCTAATTCAGTTTAATATTTTAATGTCAGGCATCTTTTTTTTACTTAAAAATTTATTTTCTAGTGGACTTCTCTGGTGCACGTAATGTTTTTAGTCACTTCTTGTTTTGTTATACTATTAAAAAAAAATAATAAACAAATACAAAAAACTATTTGCTAAGCTATTTGACCTAAGTATTTTGAATATACTGTAGTTAGAAATTAAGTAACAGATTTATTGTGCGTTTTTTCTACTTTAGAAAGCATAAAATCATAGAAAGCTTTAAAATTTCATTTTTGATAGGTAGAAACTTTTGTCTAATAAGTATAGTCTAAAACTTAATTAGATGTTTTTTCGAAAAACCGAAGATCAGAAAATCAATCGAGCATTATGGACAAGTTAAATGTTACACATTCTCTTTTATTATTTCTGAATTAGCGCTCGCTTTTTCTCATGTAATGCAAAACTTAAAACATTTAAGCATCTGCGGATAGAATTTTCCTTTTCTAAACTATCATTTTCTTTATTTAAATTAAAATTTGATAAAAGCATATTTAGTAGGATATTTAGGAAACTGGGATATTTCCTTGGCATTAGGTATTTGTTGCTGTTGAACTACTTTGTTTCAGTTATAAAGCTTTTCCGTTAATCATGATTTAGGGTTTGGGTACGCAATAGAATGTACCCTGCTCTTCGGAACCGCCTAACCTCTAAGTCTATAAAGAAGAATTCTTGCAACGTAGCATTGAAATTGAGGAGAATAGAAAAAAAAAACTAAATGTGTATAAAAGGAAAAGAAAAAATTTCAGAATCGACTTTTATTTACAGTGGTGCTTAGATTAAAGTAAATAGGTTTAGAAGAATGAGATTCTAGTTCATTAATTTATAATATCTAGTAACACTATGTGCTATCTCACTTCGCAGCAGCTTACCATATTACAGCTAATCCACCCTACCAGATTTTGTTTTACTTCTACTTGTCTTCTCCATTTTAGCATAGGTCTGTCTCTTTTTTATTTGCATTCTGATGTCTATGTTAACGCTACTGTTGGTATTCTTGTGGGAAGCATTCTCAAAATGTGATCTATCTATTTTAATCTTCTTTTTTTTGTAAATTAAGGATGATTGGTTACTCTTTGATTTTACTCTAGAGGTCTAAATTAGATGTGATTTGGGTATAGGATATATTTCAAACTATTCTTAAACATCTGTTTTGCCAATTATTCAGTATTTTATTCTGTATTTTTGTTAATTTCCATGTTACTAATCTATGTAATAGTACACTCTTTGCCTTTGAATTAAAAATAATAATTTTAGTCTTTAGCATTAAATTATTTGATCACCAAATCTTCATCAACTTTTTGAAGCAATAATGAATATTTTGGTTGCTCTGAATGTATAATAATAACTTATAACTTGTATATTTACATTACCTGATATTAAATTTACTCTAAATTTTATTTACAGGCTCCATAATTATTTAAAATAATGCCATATTTTAAAGATATAGATCCTCTTCGTGAAGAACAAGAAGGCAGAGTAAGGGAAGTAGGGCCTCAAGCTGTGTGGTCTTTGTCTTCTTGCAAACCAGGTATATGTGACTCTTACTTATTTTTTTTTCTGTTATTTTTTTAATGTTTAAAGACATGTTTTTTTTTAAATCTTTTAATCATATTTCAAGTTTTTTCAGAAATTAGAGAAGGATACTTTAAAGGAAAAGATTTCTTTCAAAAAATCAGACATACCTATTAATATTTATGAAATGAAAGTGTTTAGAATAAATATATAGTACTAAATTAATTGAAAAAAAGATGCTTAAAGGCAACTCCATGGTAAAGTCTACCAAATGACGAAAAATCCAAAATAAATATTTTTTTGGTGATATTTTAAAGGTATAAAATTGAAAATTTAGTTAACTAAAAAAATTCAAGGAATTAAATTTTTTGAAGGGCAATATCGTATAAAATTTTTTACGACATTAAGTGACTTTCAAAGGAATACAATTTTTTTTATGAATTCATTTTAATTGAAAAGCAAGTAAATAATCATTGAAATACACTATATAAAGATTGGCCATCTTACAAAAGTATGTAGAAATACTGCAAATTTTTATTTTCACAAAAATCTTCATGAGGCACTTCAGATACTTCATGTCCAACACCAAAGGGCCCAAATTATTTGCATTCTGAATGAATAAAATTAGAGCTGAAAAATTAAGTATAAAAGTGTTTACAATTGCAGTGGTCCATTGTTATAAAAATGTCTAGGCATACTTATAGTTACAAGTTTAACGAAGGTATTGTCCTTACTGGGAAACATGTTTTGCTCAGTATTTGTTCAAACGCGATTTATTTTTCAAATCTGATTAATTTAAATTTTGTCTATCAGCAAAACCAATGAGAATGTCTCCGTGGCCAAGCATTTTAGATTTATTAAGCTATTAAGAATAGCTAATTTATCTATTCACTCATTACACGTCTATGCCTTCAAATGAAAATGTACACTCATGATCAAAGTTAAAAGAATACATGCACATGATTTCAATGAGGGAAAACATGTTTTGCTCGCAATGTAACTTAATACACATATTTGATAATTTATGTAAATAAATTATCAAATGTTAAATATTTTTCTGTTAAGCAGTAAAATAAAAGATTAAAAGAAATAAAATTGTAGACAAATTTTTTAGACTATAATAAATTTACTAATGTTTATAGAAACAGATTTTTTTTAAATATTACTTCAGATATTTAAATAAGCTAATTGATTATTCGAAACTAATTTTTTACACATTTTTTCCATCAATCTTAATTTTTTTATTTTATGTATTAAAAATTTTGAATCCTCCCACAAAATTCTTCTCCAAATGACTACTATAAAAAAAAAAACTGTTGTAGCTGACTACATTTGTAACAAAGTAGCTGTATTCTGACCACTGCTTTTATTTAACCAAACTAAAACGATTCCTTTACCTAAGTAAATTACCCCAGATTATTGACAAGGACTAGGCCCAATGTAAACAATTTTGAATAAAACATTATTTTTTGAGGAAAACATGACAACAATAAATTTAAGGATTATTATACTCTGTATTTAAATTAGGTATAAATGAGGATGCAAAATTTCTACTCACTAGCCAACAATCAAATATTTAAAACTAGGGAGCGGGGCTCGAAAAAATTCAAAAAATTTACCCGTCCCTGAGGACGGCTTGTCCAACAATGTACTCGTCCTCCTTTGAAACTAACCCGTCGCTTCTAAATAAATAAAAATATACTTTTCTCTTATTTATTACAAACATTTATATAAATTGCACAATGAATTAGTAGTTACTAGGATTACAAATTCTAGGATTGCATATTACATTACAAATACTAGGATTGTAATAAAAGGAATACTAGGTTACTAATAGGAACCTAGTATTTCTTTTATAAAATAATTTATTTCTTTTATGAAATAATATATTTCTTTCATGAAATAATTTATTTCTTTTATGAAATAATTTAAATGACAAATTTCAAGTTATCTGGAATGTCAATTTATCCGAGGGTACTGCGTTTTTTAAATGAATCAAATATGACGTTTGGCAGTTCCACAATCAAGCTAATGATTTACAGAGGTTTCTGCACAAAGATCTGAAAGGGGTTTTCCATTTACGGTAGATGTTCATAATTGCGTTTAACGCTTCTTGTTTAAGACTAGTACGTAATGTTTTTTTTTTTTGTAAGTTCATTGCTGAAAAGTCTCTTTCAACCGCTGCAGTACGGGAGACAGAGAAACCATCAATTCCACCATGCGCAGTATGTTGCTGTATTTCTAGATTAGAGGGTTATTTTTAGAAGTGAGGCGCTAGACTCTTGTAAGATACAGGGTATCCGCGCACCTGGAAAGTCATGGAAAATCATGGAAAGTCATGAATTTCAGTATTGAACAAAATTTGTCATGAAAAGTCATGATTTTTGCTGTTTTTTTGAAAAAAATCATGGAAAGTCATGGATTTTGGTATTCTAGTGTTGCAAGTACTGCGCCAATTGTGGAAACCTGGGCCTATATGCTCCAAATTGAAGTAGTAGGCTTAAATTGCCCCGATCTGAGCCAAAAGGGATATTTTCCCCTGGGTATCGCCAAGTCACAATTTTGCGGCAACCAAGCTACTGCTATGTGATGGGTTGCTCTGGATTCAGTGGGAAGGATTCTTGCACTCTCATGTGCAACTCTGCTTCATTTTACAAGATATTCTCAATTTCAGGTTTCATTTTCCACTCTCTGAAATGGAACCGAAACTTCCC